CAGGTAAGGTCAGGTCAGGTCAGGTCAGGTAAGGTAACGTAGGGTAAGGTAAGGTAAGGTAAGGTAAGGTAAGGTAAGGTAAGGTAAGGTAAGGTAAGGTAAGGTAAGGTAAGGTAAGGTAAGGTAGGTAGGTAGGTCGGTGGGTAGGTAGGTAGGTAGGTAGGTAGGTAGGTAGGCAGGCAGGCAGGTAGGTAGGTAGGTAGGTAGGTATGTAGGTAGGCAATTAAGTACGTATGTAGGTATGTGGGTATGGCATGCATGCTGCATACATGTATGTAGGTGGGTAGGTTTTTGTGAGGTCTGTGCGCATGCATGTACCGATGTATGTGGGTCGCATGGCTATGTATGACTATGTATGACTAGGCATGTTCGTCTGCATGCATGTATGTACGCATGCATGTACCGAGGAATGCAAGTAAAATCATGCAAATGTATGCGTGCATGCAGGAAAGGATGCAAGCAGGGCGTGCTGCGTGGATGGATGGATGTACTCATTCGGAACTGATGTATCCATTCACCTATTTACGCATGTATTCATGTCAGTCGTTTTCTAGGCCGTTAATTCATTTTCTTTCTTGCCTGCATAGATACAAGGGTATGTACAGTGAGCCAGGAAGCGACAACACTGAAGCTTACTAGCTGCAGACTGCCCAAGATATGTGGGGGGGGGGGGGGGGGGGGNNGGGGGTGGTCCCAAGTCCGATGGCTCCCTCGAACTACACACGGAACTTCACGATGAGAGCCGCAACTCCTTGCGAGAACCACCTGGCTGCCCACCCAAAGGAGCATGCAGTGACTCTTTCTGGAGTGCAGCCGGTCCCGGACAGGTTTTTATGACATGCCTGACTTGCCTTGGCCAGCAGGGCCTGCTTCCCTTCGACCCACGTTGACCCAAATCTCTCCAATTAGTTCTGCCCCCTACAAGCATCAATTAAAACGCATTGCAACAACTCCACTAGAAATCCAACCCTCGAACAGCGCCGGAGGACAGAGCAGCGGTACCGGTGCACCGGGTGCTGCTTGGGGTCCATTGGCTGAACACCGTGGAAAAGGCCTTCAGGAAGGCTGTTGGTTTCAGATTTTTGTTTATGTAACCATTTCCAAAACAAGCCTTTTTGCAACTGCAGGTGCCGTAATTCAGGCTTACAGACCCTAAACCCTAAACCCTAAACGACACTAGGGCTGGCCTCCGCCTTCGGAATATCATTCAAAACACCTTGAGCTCTGAGCAAACGAAGTCCGGCGCCCAAACTGCCATGAGCCAAAAACGCCCCACCTGAGAGCCCCTGATGCTCCAATCCTGGGATCCCTTGCTGAAATCCTTCCATTCATGGTTCAAACAAAAACCCTGCCCCATAAGATTGCTCGTGCAACTACAAAGCAAGATTCCTGACATACCTTGCCAGCTGCTGGAATCTGGCAGAATATTCTGTAAGTTCCTAAGAAACCCGGTAAAGAAATAACAGTGTACAGGGACCCTGAACCTCACAGAAGCAGATGCCAACCTCAGGCCCTTAACCTAAAGCACAAACCTTCCATGAAGATCTGTGATGCAAGAAACGCCTCAACCCAGCACTATATTATATGATACTATATGAAGTAGGGCTTGCATTACGGCTTCGATGAGTGTAAATAAGGCTCCCTATTCATGTTGGTGCATATATTGCGCCACGCTTGAGGGGTAGCCCAATCCCATATCGGCCTTCCATGTTCGCTCCGAAGTACCACTCCTGGCCATAGACCTCCACTCCTGTGAGGGCGTCTTTAGGGAAGCAAAGGTTCAGAGACTAAAGGGCTTGGATTTTGGTTGGGGGGGCTCTGGACTTTTGGAGGTTTTTTGCTGGTTTGATGGTCGAAGTTTTCTGGCCCTGCAGATTTTGTGTCAAAGCGATGAACTCTGTGTCAAGATTTCCTTGGGGTTTTGGACATCGAAGAGTTTGGTTCATTGCTCCCAACCCCCAGGCCCTAAACCCTAAAATCGAAACTTTGCCAACTGCCTAGCTGACCGATTGATCGGATTGATTTGGCCTGCATGACTGCAAGGTTTGTGAAAGTTCTTCGGGCTTTAGGGTCTAAGCGCTGATCATTAAACACCTTCAAGTTCATCTTCTAGCTTTGGACCACCGAAATCTCCGACTCATTTCGGGTGTAAGGATCATCTACAGCTTGAGTTGAGCTTCTTGGGCTCATTAAGGCCCATGTCACGGAGGACTCTATGTCGACTTTACGGATTGAAAGTCTAAGGGTACCGAAGGGAACGCAGGCGACGCAAGAGAGGGGTTTTAAGGTAGGAGGGTTTAGGGTTTAGGGTTGAAGGTGTGGGGGCCTGCATAAGGTTTGCGACAAGCACCGAAAGTGTCGATACAGCCGTCTAGTCAACGTGCAAAAGGCAAGGCAAGATGGAGCAGCCCAATACAGTGCCTAAGCATAAACTACTGAAGGCAACAATCCCAGGCTGAAGGGGGGAGGTTTCGGAGGAGTTTAGTTTCCCTTCGAAGGTCCAAGCATCCTGTATGGAAGAGGCCAAAGCGAGTGCTGACGGCATTGATCGTTCCTGCGCGGGAATGTTTCCAAAGCCCCAGTGATCCGCGGCAGGATGGATCGCTTATCAACCCCCGGGAACTCAAGATGGGATGAGAGCTACCAACTCCAACATCAGAGATTTTCCAAGTGACAAACAGATGTTGTAAACTCTGTGGCTAGCATGATGGAAATGACAAGCGAATGCTCAGTTGAATGTAGCAGCACCGGACGTGTATGCGAGAAAGACACATGACATGGTGGCGTTTACCATCTCCTAGACATCCGCGAGGCCTTCCTTACTCCTTTGCTGCATCTACTGTTTCCAAGGCAATGCAAGGAAAGCATGCAGAGTGTGGGATGAGCTGAGAGAAGACGGTATGCCTTCGAAGAGGGGCCACACGGCCACACCAGTCTCTGAGTGCAACTCACATCCGACTCAGATGTTCAAGTTCCCTTTCTTTCCACAGGATTGCCGAGTTCACGCTTGGAAGCATCAAGCTCCCTAAACCTTGAACCCTGTACCATGTAACATGTCGCAGCACATCCCGGATCCAACCCAACTGCCGCACCTACAAGTGCTTCACGGCTGTTTTGGGGCTACCCATAGGCCCCTAAGTAGTTCCTTTTTTTATGGCTTATATATTTCGAATCCCATAAGGTCATCCGCAAAAGGAACTACTTAGGGGCCTCTGGGTAAGAAGTCCAGGGTCCGGGGTTCAGTAGTGCTGTGGGGTATTTCTGTTTTTTGAGAACCTGGACTTTGAAGTCGCCAGGGAGCAAAGAGTACACACGTTTAGTTCATAATGGCTCCTGTAGGGAACAGGTGTATGTCTGTCTGTCTGATTGTCTGTCTGTCTGTCTGTATGTATGTATGTATGTGTATATACAAGTGCATACATATACATACATATCTATATATATATATACACATACATATATATATATACATACATACATATTACAGATATATATATATATAGAGAGAGAGAGAGAGACAGAGAGAGAGAGAGAGAGAGACAGAGTCATTTATTTTTGGGCATTACATGGGATGTAAGGGATTCAGACCCCTAACCAACAGCAGCCGAGTCTCGTGACACGCAGGCAAGAGGCCCTCTACCGTGGCCAAACCTCGGGGGAAGACGTGGGAGATGCAAATGTTGCGAGCTTGGGGGTGAAGTGGGGGGGGGGTTATGGGGTTCTAAACAGCCCCCACGTAGTATCTACAACACAGGGGTTTCTATGAAGGGGCCTTAACACTTGCAAGAAGGTTTTGGGGTATAGAAAACTGCAAGTATCACAGGAAGCCCTTCGCGGAATAGTCTAGGCAACGGCTCAAGCTCCTCCATTCTGGGGTTCGTCAGAGTTGTAAGTTGCAGATGCTTCTATGTAAGTTATGTGGTGGCGGAGAGGGTTGGGGCTTAGGCTTTGGGGGATTGGGGTTTTTAGAGTCGGGCCGAGAGTTGCAGTTTTGCATATTTTCGCAGTCGTTTCGCACAGGTGTTGCATCACAGGCCCTAAACCCTAAACCCTCATGATAGCCCGAGGCGTGTGTCTCAGAGTCTGCCTCTTGGCCCACAGGCGAGATCATTGCCACTGAGGGCCTCTAACAACGGAGGTAAAGATAAAGTATGCTGATCAGGCGGGGTGGGCTTCAACGGTTGATATTTCTGAGCTCGTTGGTTCCTATGTGCGGGCCAGCGGGTGCGCAGAAATCCTTCGAGCCCGAGCGGCAAATCGTAGGCGTGAACGGTGACGGTAGGATTGCCCTTGGCGGTTTAGTGCTTATGGGTCTGGTGCATTTAGGGTTCAGGGTCGAGGGCGTTTAGACTACCCCATACACCGGCAGCATTTTGCTGGTCATAGGAAGGACTTACGGTGACACCGACCGAGATCGTCGGTACTTTGGCACGTTGTGGTCGCGTTGTTGCCGTGGTGGTTCGAACAATAACAATACCAACCTGGCAGAGCTGCATCAGGACCGGAGGACGAGCAGCAGCAGCAGCAGCAGCAGCAGCAGGACCAGCAATGACTTACATGATCGTGGCGCTGCGAAGACCAAAAAAAATATGTTCTCACAAGCGGACTGCCCAGACCTAGAAAAAAGGGTCAAAAGCACTTGATCTCAACCGGTTCCAAAGCCCCTCCAACCGAAATTTGCTCTCCAGAAAAAGCCCTGAACCTCAAAGCCCTGAAGCCCAAACCCTAAAAACGCAAGCCCGCAAGCTTGTGGTCAAACCGAGACACCGGGTCCACACAGAAGTAACGCACGCCGCGTGGGGGCTTGGGACGCTGCAGGGTAATGTGGATCACCTGAGGTTGCAGCAGCATCGAGACACTAGGAGTGCAGGGTGTTGGGGTCACAGCGCCTGGCATTGAATCAAAAATACCTAAATTAATCCTTAAGTTGTTGTTGCTGCTGCTGCTGCTGCTGCTGTTGTCGTTGTTGTTGCTGTTGTTGTTGCTGCTCACGATGTCGGACTTGGCAGTTCAAGCAGCGCGGTGTTTCTAAGACTTCAAGAGCTAATGCTTAGGGCTGAGGTCTCCTGGTTTTGGGGGCTTATAAGGTGTTGTGGTGTTAGGGGGGTTTAGCATTTTTAGGGTTTTGGGCTTGCTTGAAGTAGCTTGTGTAGAGTCTGCCCCAGAATCAGAACCTGCAATGACGGTTGCTGGCTACCAGCTTTGTGTTGCATCCCAGAAGTGAGCCCTTTGCGAAGCAACCCTTTCCTAAGCAGCTGGATGAAGACCCGTGATGAAGAGCCTCACCTCAATACAGCATACGAACTGTAGGAGTCTTGTTCTGCTGCCATGAAGGAAAACGGGCTAGCTCATCAGGCATCAACATTCGAGGCAACCTGCGGTTCAGGCAACCGCCCTTTCATTGCCATGCCGCTCTGCGAGAATGAAAAAGCACCAAACGCAGGCTCTACGTTTGCAGTTATTCAGTTCATGCAAAGACAAAGATCCCGCCTTCCATGGCTCCGAACATGGCATCGGGCTTTCATGCTTCTAGGTTTGTATGGCTCAAAATGCTTCTCAAGCTATCTTGAAAATTACGTAGCTTTTTGGCAGCCTGAAGCTGCAAAGGGGCTAGAGAAGCTCAGTAGAAACAGTCATTTGGTGCTCCGTTCTGCCAAGATCTGGCAACCTCGTCAACACCAAGGGTTCCTTGCAGCTGAGGCACATCCGACCGCATAATTTCCCTCGGGTTGAGACAGGGTTTTGAACGGGCGAGGGCCGAGACTGTAATGAGGCATATCACAGTTCAGTCAGTGGCGGAGGTGCACCACGTGGTAAAAAGATCGAACTTGTGGCTTTGGGCGCAAGCTTTCGAACCTCACAGGTCCCAAAAGTGCTCTGCACCACACTGCTGGTAGTCAAGAGTTGGGAAGATGGACGACTGCTGCAGCTTTCTGGCGTGTTCTCCTGTGAAGATCCAATCGCACTTGCCACTGACCAACTCTTCCTTCAACCAGCTCAGGACGAGGTTTAGGGTTTAGGGGTTTAGGGTTTTTTTCCCTCCCACTTAGTCAGGACGAGCCCGCATTGCAGGGTTAAGTTCAGAACAGAGAGCACTGACAAAGTGAAAGAAAGAAGCTCGCCATATTAACAGCCACTCTCAAACACTAATTGAGTTCAGACCAACAACCAATTAAGGTTGCCAATGGGCGGCCATCAAGGACACACCGTCAAGTCAAAAGATTACAGAGTCACCGCAGAGCTGCAAGCGCAGTGTTTAGGGTTTAAGGTTTAGGGTTTAGACCCTTCGAAAGTGTTGCGTAAACATCTGAGTCTCCTAGCCTTCGGTTCTATGCAACCTAAGCCCTCCCGAAACCCTGAACCCCGAAGTTCCGAAAATGAAACTCACAAGGATAGACCTCACGTGGTGCCTGAAACTCCACACGTTCCCTTAACAAAGCTGTAGCTTAAATCCTAAACCCTGAAACTCGACACATCCCCTTAACAAAGCTGTAGTTTAAATCCTAAACCCTGAACCCCACATCCTAAGACCCCCGAGAACACAGCAGACCGTGGAATGTGCCCGAGAAGCTGTTCCAGCAACTCAGACTTCCCACGTACGCTGTTGATCGCCTTAGGCCATTTCCGGGCCCTAAGTAGTTCCTTCTTTATGGTTTATATTTAGAATCCTATAAGGTAATCCCAAAACGGAACTACTTAGGGGCCTCTGGGTAGGGTTTAGGCTCCGGGTGGAAAGGTTGATGGAGCTAAAACTTCCGATGACAATCTTGCCGCTCCACACATTTGCGAGTAGCTGCGGCCACACCTCCAAAACGGCAATTGGCGGGGTCTGTCTTGAACTCGAAACAGCATGAATCGATGTGCGCGCCGCATGCCCGGAACCCCCGTCCCTGCCGCAAAATCCACCCAGCCCTTGTTGTTCTGCTGCTGTATGACCTGGCTTCGACCTATAGCCTATAGATGGTCGCAGTGACTCGCTATCTTCGTTGGGTTCTGAAACCCCGCAAATCGCTGTACAACCAGAACTCACCAGAACGCGAGAAGAGCGCAAACCCTCAACTGCGAAAGGAGCTGTCTGACAGGCTTTATACCTTTCCGAGCAAGCTGCGACGATCCGGTCTTCTATTTGAGCCTCAGGGGAGGTACCAAAAACCGATTCACTGGCCATTGGTTCGAGGCATTTAGGATTGGGCTCTCGGGTGCCAGGATGTGCCGAACCCACTTCCCGAATCTCAGAAAGCCGTTTGAGGCCGTCGGATCAAAGGGTTTTTAACATCTTCGGGGGCTCTACCCTAAACCCTAAACCCGACCCTAAACCCTGAACCCTAAATAAGACGTTGCTTTTTGATGAGCTACTATATGGCCAGGATCCGGCATGACCATAAGAAAACCCAGAAAAAGCGTGGCATACAGGGGCCCAAGGTTTGGCAGCTGGCCTTAGCTTCCATACGATTCTATAATGGTTCGCCCACAACTAAACTCTGCACGCAAAGGTGGCCTGGCTGAGATTCTGTGCCAGGTAGCCCATTTGTCAGCGCCGTGCTTGTAGATGCTGTCCTGAGTGTACTTGTTGTGCTGATTCAGCGTGCCCATGCAGGGCTGCCGCGCTTGCAATAAGGCTATTAGCAGCACGCACTTTGCCACTAAATGTATGTATGCTTTACTCTTACTATTGAAATCAAAACTGCTAGCACTAATACTGTTCTTACATTTACTAGGTGGGCCATCCTGCTGACTTTGCATTTTTTCCCGGAGGCCCCAAACCCCCAAACAAGGTTCCAACGCTATCCTGTGTATACAGTGGGCCAGTGCTAATCATACTGCCAATCGCAGGGTCTGTTTCCCCAAGAAGTGCCGACACTCGAATGGACCAAGGTGATTTAGTTTAATCAGTGAGGCACCCAAGCAACGACAGCACAAATCCGTGACCCCCAAAACCCTATAATCTGATCCCTGACCCCTTTAGTCACTTGTTTCTCAAGCCCGAGCAGATAAGACGCCGAGAGACAGAGATAATAAAGAGATTCGACGTCGCCGTTTTTCGAACACTGTTGGAGCGCCGAAACGAAATTACCCTGCTGCCCCTGCATGATAACGACAGGGCAAGGTTCGTACAGAACTCCTGGGTTGATGTTCTTTATCACCAGGCACTCACCATCGGAGTCGTCATAGACCAAACCGAGCTTCTTGCCGAACTTCTCTACGACGATCTCGCAGGGTTTGGGTCGTTTTTGCTCATCGCCTCTTTTGCCAGAGGGACCGGGGCCACGACGCCCGAGAGACTGGGTTTAGGATTCTGTGAGGAGCCGGATCGCACAAGCTGCACATGCCTGCTTTTGGACCTACCCTGCTGCCGAGCTTTCCTAAGCAAGTTCCACTACCACCTGAAGCTCTGAGTCGAAGACGTAACCCAAAATCCCAAAATCCAAGCCTTAAGCACTAAACTCCAGCATTACACGCCAAACCCTACACCACACTGCCCAACAAGTCACTGCTTGGCTTTCGCTACCGTGCTACGTCGTCTTAAGGGTTCCGTGTGCGATGGACTATGAATGAACCCAAACAGGGTTCAGGGTGTGGGTAGGGGTTTCCTAAACCTTAAAAACCATACAGGGGAAAGACCCTGGAGGTCAAGTTCACTGCCTGGAACGTGTAGATGGTATCCTCCAGCTCCTTTTTCAAGTCTGCCAATGCCCGAGGCGAGTGCGGCTCATTGGAATTACCTGGCGACTGCTGGACATCTTGACTCTTGCAAACAAACTGTGTGCTTTCAAGCCTGCGAAGCACGGATATGTACCTCTCTCAGCTGTGTTCCTGCATGCATGCTGCATACGCGCATACATACCTGCCTACCTACCTACCTACCTACCTACATACATACAGACATACATACATACATACCTGCATGCACACATACATGCTACATTACATTCTATATCCTACATCCTACGTTCTACATCATTACATTCCATACATCCCATTACATCCCATTACATTCCCTTACAATCCATTAATTACATTCCATGCGTTCCGTTACATTACATTCATACATTCGTTCAGACATACGTACATACATGAATGCAGATTGGTCCGCGTACACGAGTGCCAGTGTCTGCATGGAAAACAGCTTGTATTGCGCACGCAGACACAGACACAGACACAGAGGTAGAGACACAGACAAACACTCACACTCTCACACAGACATACACCCGCAAGCACACACAAATATGTGTGTGTATATATATATACATTTACAACGCAAGTGAAAAAAGAATTAATGAATGAACGATTGAACCAATGACTCAGTGACGACTGTCTGACTGGCTGACTGACTGACTGACTGACTCCTTGCAGGCAGGCTGTCTGGCTGATTGAATGTGTGTACACACATACATATATATGTATACATGTATGTATACGCACACAAATGCACGTCTAGTGCAGGAATAACCTTTTTGCGTAAACAATGCGAAAGTACAAACTCCCGCGCACGGCCCCGGGCAATCCACGCCCGGAGTGTGCACAGGGTACCGACAGCACTGCTGCAAACGTCAAGGTGCGTGACGACCCAAGACTATAGGTAGCGTGCAAAGGGTTCCCTAAATCTCAGCATAAGTGAACGTATGGGTCCGACTTTTTTGTTATAAGACCCTGGGGATTTGAGAACGGTCCCAGTAGTACTGAGAGGCTGGAAGGCAATGAACGGGAAATTCAATAGTTATCGGCACGCTAAACCCCGAGAGCTGTACGGGGGCGTTAGCAGTTGTTATTCGGAATGTTACATTACTCTTTTGTGCCCGGGTCCAAACGACTCATGATGATTTTTGCCATTGTCTACAGGCCCCAAGTCCTGAATCCTGCCGCCCAACCCGACCCTCAAACACCTGAACCCTGCACTAAATCCCAAACCCTACATCCCATCCATGCACCCTGAAAACCACGTTGCTGGACCCTAAAATAGTCCAAACCCTCAACCCTCAAAGCCTAAACCCTGAACCCTAAACCCCCAAACCCTAAACCCAAAGCCCCTTAAACCCCTAAACCCTGAACCCTAAACCCAAAGCCCCTAAACCCTAAACCCCTCAACCCAAAGCCCCTAAACCATAAAACCCTCTCAAACCCTAAACCCTAAACCTTGAACCCTAAACTCTCAAACCCTGAAGCCTTAAGCCAAGCGGCAAAGCGGCGACCAGGATCGCTCCGGATCGGCGAAATCGCCCTGGCTCTTGGTCTCGGCTTTGTGGTTCAAGGTTTAAGGGTTTTGGGGGTTTAGGGTTTAGGGGTTTAGAGGTTTGGGGTTTAGGGTTTAAGGGTTTTGGGGGGTTTAGGGTTTAGGGGGGGTTTAGGCCTTTAGGGTTCAGGGTTTTCGGTTCTTCAGGGTTTCGGCTTTGGATTTATAATAGTTATATTACCAGTATACCTATAATTACCTCTTGTTTCTAAGCAAGACTGCAAGTCCGGGCGACTGCCTGACTACCCCTAGGATCCTGCGTGAAGGCATGTATGTAAGCTGAAGATTACCAAGGGGCCCTGGCCGAAAGCCTCAGCCACTAAACTTCACAGCCCGAATGGGTTTAGGGTTTAGGGACTTCGCGTTGAGTAAGAAACTCAGCTAGTCTCTGAACTGGTCTCCAATACTGCGCTCCCCACACCCTAAAACCAAAGTCGTTCCGCCTTTCTGCCACAACAGTGTGCGGACTTCCCATATAATCAGGTACCATTTCTCATGCTGCCAGAGGCCTTAGTACCCCAATAATGATACAGTAATACCAGTAATAATCATGATAATATTGTTCAAAATAAGGGTGCTAGAGACCGTTGTGGTCCTCATGTTCATGGTGACGCTGATGATCCTCATTGTCACCACGAATATTTGCCCAATGGTTGCAATACACTGTAACCTGAACTTTAGACTCCTACCCCAACGCGATCAAGCCTACAATGTACCCCACACAAAAACCATACTTGATCACACACCCTCAACCGCGCCTCGTTTGCTCTTGCCAGCTGACGCTGCGCCTTGACCTCACATGCCTCCTTACATAAGCGGGATGGTTTGGGGTTTAGGGTTCGTTCGGTTTCGGGGATCCCATTTCGGTTCAGAGCTTCAGGTTCACCGTTGCATGGCTTTAGGAGCCAAACGTTGAACCCTAAACCCTAAACCTTGAACCCTAAACCTTGAACCTTGAACCCAAAGCCCTGACCTGATCCCTAAGCCCTAATTCATTCCGAACCCTGGCTTTAGCATTTGCATGAGATAGGGACACGTTCACGCTGCGGCCTGCCGCGCGGAGGGTGCTACTGAAAGGATCATGGGACTTAGTGGCTTAAAGTCTTAAAGGGTCCCTTTGAGGGATCTTCAACGGTTCTACAAGGGGTCTTAGGGTTTCTTAAAGGATCATGGGCCTTAGTAACTAAGGTTATGACTAGGGTTACTATACTCATAAATTATAAATACGAGTACTTACAACCCCAATCAAGGTGTGTATACTCTGCCTTGCTAAGTCCCGTGATCCTCCAAGTACGACCTGTGGGCTTGCAAGCACGGCGACGGTTCAAGCTACGGGATTCGTGCCCAGCGTTTGTGAAGGTCTGTAAGGTTGGCCTCCGTCACTCTAAACACCATCACCAGTGAGGTTAAGTGAGTTACCGAACGGAAGAGGGCTTTGAACAGATTCCTGTGCCTTGGGGCTTCGGGTTGAGGCTCTTGGATGAGTGTCTTTGGTTTGCGGTCTCTGGCGATTTGGACTACATGCTGCCGGTCGGCACTTTCTGGCAGGGCGGTTATGATTAAGACGTGCGCGGGAAACTGCCCCGCCGGCTGCAATAGTCACACTCCAGGCCGAAAGCGACCACTGAACTTCCATCCGTCAAGCCTAAACCCTAAACCCTAAACCCTATACCCTAAACCCTAAACCTGCCGAGATTCCGATGCCGGAGCCTCGGGGCGCTGAACACCAATGGAGCATACGAAGCAACTTAGGTGTCCTCCCTCGACAGCCATAAGATACAATTTGAACCCTGAACTCCAAATTTGTACGACAGTTTCAGCAATCGTCGACCCAGCTCTCGCACATAATGCGCCATTGGACTCAACGGTGCAGTCTCTAAGCATGGCTGTCCCTCAGATCGTGCACGGCGCGCAGACTGCAGAAACATTTTCTTTACAAAGTCCAAAACCCGAAACCAGAGTTCTGGTTTTAGGGCCTTTAGGGCTTTTTTTCGGTCCAGAGGCACAATATAATGTGTGCTGATTCCTAGCTAGCTGCCATACGTAAACCCCCACTCACACTCGAAGATGAGTCTCGAAACCCTCTAAGCCGTAGGCCTAGAGACCCTAGCCCTATAGACCCCAGATCCTAAGGATTTCCGCCTGCTCGTTTTGCGAAGCGAAGCTCCAAGCTACGTCTGTGGGCAAAGGATCCTTGTCCTCGAATAGCTCCAGGGACCCACGATCAACTCAAACTCGAATTCCGGAGCCCAAGACCTACGTAGTACACGATGGATTAAGGTATAGAATCTCGGGTTTGTGACTTGAGGTGTTGAACTCTTTCAAGGTCTAAGGTATCGAGGTTCAGGGCCTGTGGGGTTTTAACGGGGTACTTGGGGGGCTTCTTCCGGCTAGGCGCCCTGGGGACCCTAAGCCCCGAAACCCCTAAACCCATAAACCCATAAACCCTAAACCCATAAACCCCTAAACCCATACCGAGGCACCGAAGAGCCGCAGGCCGATCCCAAGCAAGCGAGATTCCACACACAGGAGTCGGAGCCCTGGTTGCTTGAAGCTAGGGGGGGAGGGTGGGGAGATCGGATCGATTCAAGGTTCTAGAGTAGTCCGGTACTTTGCTCGCAAAAGTTCCTTTTTTAAGGGCCTTTTTCAGGCTTTGGTACGTTGGCCCCTATGGGTCCCTCTGAGTGTTTAACTTATGGTGTAGCCTTCGAGTGTATAGGGTCTGGTTTCGAGAATTCTATTCTACAAGGCTTCAGACAGCACGGAACGCTACAACCTGAAAGCCAAAAGCCCGGACCAGAGCATCTATGGAGTTGGGGGCTTAATTTAGGGTTTAGGGGTTCAGGCTTTCGGCTTCAATGGTTTTGCCTGGCGTTTCGGGTGTCAGACCGAGAACCCCAAAAGACGACCCGACAGCCCCGACACCACAGCTGACACACCCACCTTAAGCAGCTAGACACACTAATCATCTCGAACCCCTGTAAGGATATGACCCGGAATTAGACGACCCAAACCTCTCAAATGCCATAAAAGACCATGAAACTCACCAGAACCTTTATCAGAACCCTGATAGAATCCGGATAGAATCGCCTGCACCCTAAATCCTGAAACTCGAAACTCGAAACCCCGAGCCCCCCGAGGAGCCTTCGACTTCGATCGGATCCTTTCAGCGGGGGTTAGGGTTTGGGGCCTAGGATTGCAGAGAGGGGTTGAACGTGGGTTTTGAGCTTTTATGCGAGTTTCGGGCTGTAGAGTCGCAGGGGCACAGGGGTTGAGCAGCAATCTGCGCAGCTGATCCTGGTAGTTTAGCCGCGGTGGCTAACGATTTCATTCGGTACACTAAGCGACAAAGATAATGATGAACCCTACTCAGCTAAGGAAGAGTTTAACGAATCGTTCAGGCCCCTATGTTAGGTTTCGCGTAGCACATAGTCTCGACCGGTAAGTTGCGGTCTCTGCGCCTCGAAAGCTGGTCTTGTGGACAAACTGAATCGCGACAGAGGTGGATGCACGTAAAAACGGACTCAATACTCGGAATAAGGCTTTCGGCACTCAGACGGACAAGCCAGGTGAGGGTATTGGCATATCATATTATAGTTGTACGAGCATTGCTTACAAGGCTGTGGAGAACTGATGCAATCTGCTTTGCCTTGTTGCATAGGATCACCGACAGGGGAAAATCGCCCATTCACTGCATCCTATATCAGCATCCTGGATTATCACGGTCTTGAGGCTTTTGGGCAATCGCTGTCAGAACGAACTGAGAATGACATGAAAGAGCTGTACGCCTTGAACCTTTTATGCCATGCGACGTTTATCTCCCGAAGCTTAAGTGCGCCACCATAAAGCCATGTGGAAGGCCAACGGAATCTCAACAAAAAGTAGGTTCCCTCGTGGTTAGGATCTCTGTAGCAGGATGTTGATTCCCCATCCTAAACCCTATAAAAACCAAGGGCCTTCAGAACCACCCCCGTGGAGTCCTGTGTGGTACCTGAAAGCTGTCCGAGGAGTGAGCGCCAAAGGGCAGGTTGGCGACGTTCTCCTTTCCGAAGATCAGGGCCCTGTCGTATATAGCAGTATGGTTTAGTATACTAGAGCATTTTATGAAATATTATGGTTTATTATAGTGTATATAGTTATAGTATGTAGCCATAGTATAGCCTACAGATGTAGATGCACACTCAGTAATAGGGCTCAAGGCTGCCTACTCAGCTTATACCTGCTTTACGCGACGGGAACTTCTTCTCCTGGAAAACATGGCATTGCAACGAGTCCTGTGGCAGACTGTGACAGGTGTTCCTAGGAGACCTACGAGTATCTTGGGCTGCCGGGCGGTTGCCCTGAGCTTCACACAAGTGCCGACTTCAGGCTCGTCTTGAATTTTGCAATCGTGCAAGTGGTCAGCTACTGGCCAAGAAATAGCATTATCGCTGCAGTTGAACTGGATCATGCTCTAGTTGCCGGCGAGGGCTGATAGAAGTAGCATTCCTCAGCTGCGGAAGTGCCTTCACAGGTACTAAGTTATGCAAGACGGCTCAGAGCAAGCAGGGTCCTCTGAATGGCTGAACGGGAGATTGAAGTCTTCGTTGGCCTTCAGGGCAGTTTATCTTTCAAAACTTGCCCGCTTGCATCCCAAAGCAAGCGCAAGACATGACAGCTTTTCCGCCGTCGGGTGCTCCTTGCCCGATAGGCAGGAATCTACCCGCTGCGGTCGCTGACTTGAAGCTCGACACCGGACGACATCACCGAGCCCTTTATCCGAAAAGTTTGGCCCCGATGGAGTCCGCGCCAATCCATGGATTTCAGGTGGAACTTGCTTTACCACTTAAACTGCAAATCCCGATAACCCAACAACCCTCAACGACGTAAGCTCGCTTTGGCAGGAAATGGGGGGCTTTAGCCACGAGGTGTGAGGTTCAAAACATTAGCTTGAATTACTACTGCAGTAACCGTCTTCCTCACAGCTCCCTATTATAACTCAAGTTTCAGATACCGCATCTTCCATACTCACCATTGTGTCACATTCTCACTCCTGAACCTCACCGTTCATGGAGTGCTGCGTGGTCCTTGTCTGCAGCTTGGGGCCAGGGGGAGAGAGGGGCGTGGGATTTGGGCTTATACTTCGGGGTTTGAGGGGGGCCGACGATGGTTGTTTCGTAGCTTTGCCTCGTGCAGGGCCAGGACGAGACCCACATAGCTATAAGGGCCTAGGTTCTTGACAAGAAGTTGACTTTGAGGTTAGGTTCCTGAGTTTTGTCTTCGGAGCTTTGCACCACCAATCCGAACGATTTACCAAGGGCCCCAAGGAGCCGACACCCCTCAAACCGATAATCAGACGCAGCAGGGTCCGAAGGATATGCTGGTGGTCGGTTTAGGGTTTAGGGTTGGTCCTCTATCGGCTTTTGAGTTCCGGGGCTTCAGAATGGAATTGGGGGCTTCCCATGAAAGGTTCACTGGTGCTCTTCATCGCAAACATTCTGCACTCTGGAACCCTAGTTGGCCCCGATCCCTACAAGCTACCACATGGCAAGAAACAAGGGTCGGAACAACAATGCAAACACATCAAGTGTCATTGACAGCCGAAACAATAGGAAAGGCAACAGCATATGGCAGTCATCATGCGTAGGACCATAACTTAGGCTGCTGAGGCCCCAGCCCAAAAGAATCTAACCGGTTAGTGATTAGGATGCAGTAATGGTCGTCAAAAACAACTGAAGGTGCGCGGATGACTAATACGGCCAACGACAAGGACCGACAAGGAGTCCTATCCGGAGAAGCACTAGAAAGCGTTATT